TACAGTATACTGTAGGTAGTACCTTGCTCAATAGTAGTAACTGTGAGAGGGATCTTGGAGTCCTAGTGGACAACCATTTAAATATGCTCCAACACTGGAAGTGTTTAAGAAGATGTTGGATAGCTATTTGTCTGAAACGGTATAGGGTTTCCTGCCTAGGCAGGGGGTTGGACTAGAAGACCTTCAAGGTCCCTTCCAACTCTGCTATTGTATTGTATTTGATGATACAACCTTTGAAGCAAAATGTATAAATATTTTCTAATCTACAAAGAAACATATTTAGAAGAAAAATCAAGTGTTAAATACAGGTGACAAATTTAATCATAAAATCTTCAGTATGAAATTTATAACTCACAATTTCAGCTGTTCCAAAGACAAAGCTTCATTGTAAAGATGGTATATTGGTAAGTTATTTCCAGTAAGACTGAAAACAGCATGTTAAAACATGCTAAAGTAAAGGTCCTACAGTATTTTGCAGTAACACATCTATATAGAAACTTAGTTAGGATGAGACAAAAGATTTCCCTTTTGAATAAAAGGGAAGTACCTAACATTCTCTCTGCAAACTGATATCCATTATTTGCTGCATGATGAATTCTTTAGCTTTGGTATAAAAAAAAAGTGCATGGCTATTTTAGATAGGCCTTGTAAATTTACCTCCAAAATCTTATTCCAGACTGAGGAAATATAGCTAATATAGCTGTCAGTCAGGATGATCCCTTGGTGAAGAATGTTAATCTAAGCCAGTAAATCTACTTAGATTTAAGCCACAACAGTAACTAGTTTTATTCATTATGCGTTTTCATGATTTTTGCACTACTTTTCATTTGCAAATTTCAAAGTTGTTTAGAATAATATAATATAGTCAAAAGTAAATATAGAGGATAAAGTTCAAATATGGCTTTTTAAAAATCAACATTGAATTACTAGGTTAGCTGACAGCATCAGAGGAAGGTCTAGGCCAGTGTTTCTCAACCTTGGCAACTTGAAGTCCTGTGGACTTCAAGTTGTCAAGGTTGAGAAACACTGGTCTAGGCAAATAAATCCATTTCCAATTTTTGGTGACAGCACTCTATTTTTGGAGTTCACTGACTCTCCAAATAATAAAGTTTCTTCTACAGTGTGGGCACCGGTACAGCGATTGTTTGTCTACATAGCCCAACTGAGTGAATGTCAGTAAGCCTCCTGATTGTAAGGACCAGATAGGCCACTGTGGAAGGAAGTAATATATAACAGTATATAATAAACAACTATGTGTTGAGAGAAAGCTTCACTTTACAGTACAGAATTTACCAAATTTCAATTTCTTTAGATTTCATATGCAATAACTTTGATGCCCACTATGTAGGATAGAGAAAATAAGAATTGCAGCCCAGCATTTCTGGGGTTAAGTTAGTGAAAATTGCTGCAGAAGGCCACTAATATCTTATGTTCTGGTACCTCTATTTTGTTGATTTCATTACATTTGACAGAAAACAGATAGAAGAGAGGTAAATAAGTTGTCTAGTTATAGAGTAAGAGAATTCTGATGGCAATGTTTTTCCTTTTCTTCTTTCTAATTTCCCAACATACCTAAACTTTTTTATTGTTTTTATTAGGAAATCTTTATAAACAAAAATAGAAGGTGGTTAGATAGAGAGATATGATAAAAGATGGTACTTTTTCCCTTTCCTTTTTCCCAGTGAGTCTCAAACCAAGATATGAAGTTTCCCTGCTTTGATGCAAAGTGTTTCCTATTTCTGGAATATATTATGCAGATTTTTAATAAATTATTGTAGCTGTTGTTGTTAGGTGATTCTGTTTACTTCATAGCATCAAAGCAACAAGGAGGTCACAGATCACTTCAGCTTTATCTTATTAATTATATTAACGAGGTTTATTCTGTTTTTTTTCTTTTGCTTTCTCCAGGGAATATTATTATCTACGGGAATACAATTGATGTGTACACCACTATAGAATCCCTCTTATCATTAGGAATTAGTGGCTATTGTATACACCTTGTGCATCCTCCCTCGAATTCCAATATTACTTCTCTCAATAACAGTGCAATAGAAAGAGCTATCAAGAAAGCAATGTCCAAGTTTCGTGTAACTGAATACCATGATAGTTTATTGGCTCAGTGGAATGATGGCAATCACCCAGATCCAATCACATGTGCATCTTTCACTACAAGTACAAAGCCATTTAAGTTGCAATGTTCTGTAAGTATGTGCTGCCTTTGCTGAATTTTAATATATATCAACTGAACAATTGGAACAGGCTTGAATTCTAGAATTCTGCTTTTGGATCTTGCTATGCTGAAACCTAGCTTGAACCTCGAGCAGGAATCGTATTTTAGTCTGATTATGCTATCTTTTAAGTTTTAAACATAACTATTTCTTACAGAATAAGCTAGTTTTGTCTTACAGAATAAAATTATACTTTGGAGTTTGGGAGAAGTCTGCAAAAGTAATCTACCTTTCATACCTAACCCTAACCCATTTTTTTACTTTAACATTTTTTTTCATTTTCATAACATAACATGTATACCATTACATAACCAACATCATATTGTATTATTAAATGTTTACATCAATTCATCTTACCAACAACTCCCCAAATCCAATTATTGGCTCTTCTGCTCTCCATACACATTGGTTCCTTATCCATCACTTTCTTCTCCCTCTCTCCTCTCTCTCCCTCCCTCCTTTCTTCCCTTTGTCCTCCTTCCCTTCTCTACTTCCCCTTCCTCTCTCCTTTTCCTTCCTCCCCTTACCACTCCTCATTTCTCTCCTCCTCTTCCCCTCCCCTTGCCTCTCTCCTATCCTTCTCTTCTTCCCTTACCTCTCTCCTCTACTTCCCATTCTTCATCTCATTTACTTGGTGTATTTCAGCTTCTGAGCAAGCTCCATTTTATGTTGATGGTATTTATAATTATATATATATATATATATATATATA